TTGAGGGATGCTCTATGGACTGCTCCGCTGATATTTTGAAATATACCACGAAAGTTAATTCTCAGCGTGTGTATATTTTCTTGGCTGGACTTGATCCTCAATTAGATGGGTTCCGAGGCCGTTTCTTGCTACCAAACCACTTCCAACCATACATACAGTTTATGCGACTGTGTGTGCAGAGGCTAATCGTTAAGGAGCTATGCTTGGAGAAAAGATTGGGGACAAGTCAGGAGAAGCAACTGTCATGGTGGCTCACAAAACTCTCACTTCCAAGAAAGATCTGTGGTGCACTCACTGCAACAGTACAGGGCATGCCGTGGACTCGTGCTTCAAACTCCATGGCTATCCAGATTGGCATCCTAGAAGTAAGAAAGCATCTCAGACGAAGGGAAATCTCACTACTACTTCGGCATTTACTGCTCAGTCAGGTATGACATTTACTAGTAATATTGATTAGATAATTAACTCTGGTGCAACAGAACATATGACGTGTGATCGCTATTAGTTTAGTCAGTTTTCCTCCAAATGTCCTAAATCTACCATTATTAATGCTAATGGGGTATCATCTCCAGTTTTGGGGGTTGGTACAGTCCAACTATCCCCTACGTTATCCATATCGAATGTCTTATTTGTGCCATCATTAAATTGACATCTTCTCTCTGCTGCTCAACTAACCAAATCTCATCATTGTGATGTTCTATTTTTCCCTACTCACTGTTTGTTTCAGAACATCCATACCAAGGAGAGGATTGGCAGTGGTAAACAAGACAGAGGATTGTACTATCTGGACAATGTTTTTTATCTACCAACATGGCTGGAAAAGCTCATGTCGTCAACTTGGATTTGGTGAATAAGCACAAAACAGAGATTTGGCTATGGCTTAGACGATTAGGACATCCTTCTTTTTACTATCTTCAGCGATTATTTCCCTCATTGTTTAGTGGCTATAAGGCTTCTGATTTTCTATGCAAAACTTGTGTATTGGCCAAAAGCCACCGTACTTTTTTCCCATTAAGTAATAATAAAGCCAATTTTCCATTTGCATTAGTTCATTCTGATGTATGGGGGCCTGCCCCACTACCTACTTTGAATGGAATGCGGTGGTTCGTCACGTTTGTTAATGATTGCACACGCATGGTTTGGGTCCATCAATTGAAATAAAAGAGTGATGTCTCTTCCGTTTTTCAACAGTTTTATCAAATGGTATCTACGCAGTACGGCATCAAAATCAAAGTCCTTCGTACCGATAATGGGACAGAATATGTAAAACGGGATCTCCAAGACTTCATGGCCTCCGTAGGGATTCTTCACGAAACTTCTTGCATTGACACCCCCCAACAGAATGGGGTAGCCGAGCGAAAAAATGGACACTTATTGGCAGTCACTCGGTCTCTTTTAATTGATGGACATGTACCTATTCACTTATGGGGTGAAGCACTGAATTCCGCAGTCTATCTAATCAACCGTACCCCATCAAGTGTTCTCTCATTTCGACGACCCTTGGATGCACTTTCAGATCACTGTTCTCTTCCTCTCGTCGTTCTCTTAACTCCTCGCATCTTTGGTTGTGTGGCGTATGTTCATCTCCATCATCGCCAACGGACTAAGCTTAAACCCCGTGCAAAAAAGTGTGTGTTTGTGGGATATGGAATTCATCAAAAGGGCTATCGGTGTTATGACCCGTCTTCTCACAAAATATATACTTCCATGGATATTGTTATCGATGAAACATAATTTTTCTATACATCCACTACTGCTGATTTATTACTTCAGGGGGAGAATTATGAAGAAGTGCCAAATCCTACAGATGTACAAGCTTTCCTTCTTCCTGACAGGCCAATGATGACTGGAGAAAAGGAAAATGAAACAACTCAAGCCATTCTGATTCCTCGGTCCTCAGCTGATGATCCCAAATTTGCTGAAGAAGTTCCTATCATTTCTGATGAGATGGCTCGAGATCTAATTGACGAAGAAGATCCTGATCAAGACATCACCCAGTATAGTACAACACCTCCAAACTGTCCTATACAACCACTGGATCAATCCTCTCCTGAGACATCTTCAGAGGTATCTACTAATCCTACTTCTATCATAAACCTTCATTCTCAAGTGTCTCAATATCGTCTTCCAGACCGTTCTAATCGTGGCGTACCTCCTGTCAAGTATGAACCAGATCCTAAGTCCAAAGTTAAATATCCTATCGGTAATCACGTGTCATCTAAAAGATTGTCTGAGTCATATGCTTCTTATGTACTACAGTTATCATCTATCTCTATTCCTAGTAAATTGCAGGAAGCAGTAGTAGATGTCAGGTGGGCTCAAGCCATGGAAGAAGAAATGGCAGCACTTAAGAAAAATGGGACTTGGGAACTCGTTCCTCTACCGAAGGGGAAGAAGACTGTAGGATGTCGATGGGTATTTGCAGTCAAACACAAGGCAGATGGAACCATTGAAAGATACAAAGCTCGGTTAGTTGCGAAGGGATATACTCAATCGTATGGGATTGACTACTCAGATACTTTTGCACCAGTGGCCAAGCTTAACACGGTTAGAGTACTATTATCCTTGGCGGTTAATCGGGATTGGAAACTTCTTCAATTTGATGTTAAAAATGCATTCTTGCATGGAGACCTCAAAGAAGAAGTGTTTATGGACCCTCCACCGGGAATAGAGGAATATGCAAAAGAGAGCATGGTTTGTAAACTCAAGAAGGCAATCTCCCCGAGCCTGGTTTGGGAGATTCACCAAGTCTATGAAAAAGTTTGGCTATAAACAGAGCAATTCAGATCATATTTTGTTTCTAAAACATAGAAAAGGTAAAATCACAGCTTTAATTATCTATGTTGATGATATGGTGATGACAGGGGATGATCAAGAAGAAATGGAGAATCTACAACGACACTTAGCCTCGAAGTTTGAGATGAAACAGCTTGGTGACTTGAAATACTTCCTTGGTATTGAAGTAGCCCGATCAAAGAATGGTATTTTCTTATCCCAACGAAAATACATCCTTAGTATATTAACAGAAACAGGGATGCTTGGATGTAAACCCGCAAGTACTCCTATTGAACAAAACCATAACTTGTTTCGATGCTCAGACGCAGGCCCTACGAATCAAGCAAGGTACCAGAGACTTGTGGGAAAATTGATCTACTTGTCTCATACTAGACCCGATATTGCATATGCAGTGGGTGTAACTAGTTAGTTCATGCATGATCCCCGTAAACCCCACATGGACGCTGTGGAACGTATATTGCGATACCTAAAGTCTGCTCCAGGGAAAGGATTACTTTTCACCAAAAATGACAGATTGAAAGTAGAAGGCTACACTGATGCAGATTGGGCTGGTTCAGCAAATGATCGAAGGTCTACTTCTGGATACTTTACCTTTGTTGAGGAAAATTTGGTGACTTAGAAAAGTAAGAAGCAACCAGTGGTAGCAAGGTCGAGTGCAGAAGCCGAATATAGAGGCATGGCTCTTGGAGTATGTGAACTGTTATGGTTGAGGAATCTCTTACGAGATTTAGGTATCAAGCCCCAAGAAACGATGAAATTATATTGTGATAATACTTCAGCCATAGCAATTGCTCACAATCCAATTCAACATGATCGAACGAAACATGTGGAAGTTGACAGGCATTTCATTAAGGAGAAACTTGATGCTGGAATCATTACGTTTCCATTCGTAAAATCTGAAGATCAATTAGCAGATGTCTTAACTAAGGCCTTAGCCAGCAATGCCTTTGATAACTCGTTAAGCAAGTTAGGCATGTGTGATATACATGCTCCAACTTGAGGGGGAGTATTGGAAATTAAGTCAAAGATATGCCATGATTCTTGGAAGATATTGTTATTAGATACCGTATAATTAGGAGATATACCATAACTAGGAGATTAGATCTATATCCAATATACCATGTGTAGATTACACGGTGTATATATTGTACACCAATGATTGAATAAAATTATGAGAGAATCATTCTCAAAGGTGTGTTCTTTGTTAGAAATAACTAATGTTATACTAATAACGTGAATTGTTAATCTTTTCACTTTTAATTATGCTAATAAAATAGGACCTTATTGAATCGTCACAACCAATTTCCACCACCACAACCAAGTTACTAATTCTTGGTATTTTCTTGATTTTTTTTGTTTGATTTTTTCTACTTTGATCTCTGGGCACACTGAGAAGAGGGGTACCAATAGAAGTGAGATGAGATGTGGTGAAGAATAGTGATAGTTGTAAAAGCAGTGGTGCATAAAGATAGGGAGATGAAGTGTGGAAGTGTGATGGGTGTAAAAGTAATTTTGGTGCATAAACAAACTTTAGTTAGTGATGAGTTAACTTTTGAGGACATTGGTGACTAACAGGCCAGTTGCAATTTAAGCAAATTGTTAGCAGAGGTAAATGTAATTTGCTTAAATTTTAGCCAGAGTCAACATTTTGGATGCCACAAAGTTCAAACTCCGTCTTCAGAACACAAAACTTGAGAGAGATAGCAGAGCACCGAAATCGGGCTATGGAAGGTTGGCTGATCGAAAAAGAAGAAAGAGAAAGAGAAAGAACCATAGAGAGATGGAAACAGAGAGAGGGATTCGGGAGGGAGATGGGTGAAAAATATTGTGTCTTGGAGAAACTGAATCATCTAATGATTAGTAATGCGTGCAATTTGACCGCAGATTAGATAGATCATATCGACTCTGTTTACCATCGGCTAAGATTCCTAGCAATCATTCTCAAGGATTTGGAAGAGCAGCAGCAGTATGAGCTGAACCTTCGGCTAAGATTCCGAGCAACCATTCTCAAGCATGAGCTGAACCATTGGCTAAGACTCTTTGTGATCCCTTTTTTCGATGTTCAAGTTCCAGGGCAAAGATCATCAGGGATCAGTTGTTTAGATATTTTATTTAAGCCGATCGAGGCAAACGTGGTGCAGTTTTATGACCGGGTATATCAGATCCAACTCCTAAAAGATTTCAATGATGGAGTCCATTCGTCAATGTCAATGTCAATGGAGAACAGAACCATGGTAGATGAAGAAATTACAGTGGGCTTTGATGATGAGGCGTTGACTATAAAAAAGCTACTTGCTGGAGGGAAGAAGCAGCTACAAATGATATCAATTGTCGAGATGCCTGGACTCGGTAAGACTACTTTAGCCACAAAACTGTACAATGATCCTTACATCACACACTACTTTCATATTCGTGCATGGACCTATGCTTCTCAATCACCCAGAAAAACAGATATGTTGTTGGACATTTTATGTTCTCTTAATGTCGATGAAATTAAAAACATGACCAATGAGAAGCTAGGCGAAAAGTTGTACAAGCAATTAAAAGGCAAGAAATATCTCATTGTCATTGATGATTTATGGGATATTGGTGCCTGGGTCGATCTTAAAATGTATTTCCCGAATGACAACAATGGAAGTAGAGTTATGTTCACTAGTCGCCTCAAAGAGTTGTCTATGCATGCCTCATCTGATTGCCATCCTCGTTGTCTGCGTTTTCTCACTGAAGAAGAGAGTTGGGAGTTTTTACAACTGAAGGTGTTTCAAAATGAAAGTTGCCCTCCAGAACTGATTGAAATTGGGAAGCAAATAATGAAAAAATGTGAAGGGCTTCCGCTTGCAATTGTTGTAATAGCAGGACTCCTTGCAAAGAACATCAAGACACAAGAGTCGTGGAAACAAGTTGCCCAAAGTGTAAGATCATACATTGTTAGTGATCCAAACCAGTACTTGGACACACTAGCACTGAGTTACAATCACTTGCCTCGTCACCTGAAACCATGCTTCCTCTATTTAGGAGCATTTCCAGATGACACAGAAATCCCGGTGCAGAAGTTGATTTGGTTATGGATAGCTATGGGGTTTATACAAAAAATTGGGCAGAAAAGCTTGGAGGAAGTAGCAGAGGATTACTTAATGGATCTAATTAAGAGAAGTCTGGTAATTGTTGCTCAAAAAAGGTTTGATGGTCGAATTAAAGCATGTCGTATGCATGATTTGTTGCGTGATTTATGCTTGAAGAAAGCCAGCGAAATTAATTTCCTGCAGTGGATTCACAATTATAAAGCTCCTTCTTCAAGTAATTACGAAACAAATAACCAGCGCCGCCTGTGCATACTTTCTTACTTCGCACAGTCTTATGCCCCAACAGTTCTTCAACCATTATTGTGCTTCGGATATGAGTTTGAGAAAATAATTGGTTACAACGACAATTCGTTTGATGATGTGTGCTCGTTTATTTGTTGGACCTTCAAACTTCTTAGAGTGTTGGAAATATGCCATAACAATGCCTACTTTCCAAGAGAATTAACACAACTTGTTAATTTGAGGTATTTGGCAATTAATTTGAAAGATTCCTGGGAATTACCGCCATCAATATCCAATCTCTCAAACCTAGAGACACTTCTTATTATTTCACCATGGGGTGAGGTTATTCTGCCATGTAATGTTTGGAATATTACAAAATTGAGGCATCTTTATGCTAAAAGAGGTGCAAAATATGATGCGTCTTTATGTTCTGAAGAAGCAGTAACAGATCACAACCATTTCTCTATATTAGAAAACCTACGAACCATCGCTAACTTAAACTGTTATGGATTTATTCAGGATTTATTAGCAAGAACTCCTTTTCTTACAGAGCTGGGAATTTGTGGACGACTCTTTTCAGATTCGGGGAATTGGATGTTTCTTAACCTAGAATTTTTAAGATACGTTGAGACTTTGAAGCTATGCAGCAATTTTTTCCCCAGATACCCAACTACTCTCAGAGGGGTCAAGTTTCCTGCAAATATTAGAAGGCTAACCTTGAAATATACAGGGATAGAGTGGGAGGAGATATCAGTCCTTGGGATGATGTTACCCAACCTTGAGCTTCTCAAATTAGAAAGGCATGTTGCCTGGGGACAGCAATGGGCAACAACTGATGGTGGGTTTCCTCGACTCAAATTCTTGAAACTGAAGGAGCTCAATGTTGAGCGATGGATCACATGCTCTGGTCACTTTCCAAGCCTTCAACACTTATCGTTGGAATGGTGTCAACATCTCAAGGAAATACCATCTAGTTTGGGGGATATACTCACTCTGCAGATGATTGAGGTAAACTATTGTGGCTTCACTGTTGTGGAATCTGTCAGGAAAATGAAGCAAGAGCAAGAGAGCATTGGAAATAATTGGCTCAAAGTGCTGATTAGGGGAAAACGGTGGGCCCTCTGAGTCAAAGTGAAATGATACAACTTCTACAGGTATTTTCTTTTCAATATTTATGTTTAATTTTTTCTTTTTTCATTTTGGATTTGACCCTACATAAAATAAAAGTAATCTACCTTGTGTGTATGTAAACTAACCTAAAACTCGTGCTACGCAGAGTCATAAACAAATAATTAATATTTTATCTTAAAAATTAAAGTAATAATTTTAAAATTTAAAAGGAAAAAATAGTAAAAATAATGTGAATGAGTTGTTTTCATTTAAATTGCACTAAAGTCGTGCTTTAATTGTGTTGTTATTAATATTTTATTTCAAGTATTAACTAATATATATATATATATATATATATGTCATTACGTGGATTAGTAACATTTTAGAGCAAAAACATTGAATGAATTATAAAAATTCCATTTAGCATACAAGATAAATAATACATACTTTTATATTAGATTTTCTCAAATGACATAACAACTAAATTTTTTAATTTAAAATTACATAATAAAATTTGTTAAAATCGAAAATAAATTGGAGAATGAAATATTTTTATTTTTATTTTATTTTTATTATTGTTATTATTATTTTTTTATAGAAAGAGTAAGCATTAACCCCTTTTCCCAAGCCATCCAAAATGAAGTCATCTCTAACCCACATCAAGCTCACCTCTAAATCATTTCACTTCTCTTGTTAGCCACTATCAACTCGTGTTTTAGTTCCCTTCCTAGACACACTTTTTTATTCCCCTTCCCCCAATTACCCTTACAATTTTCAATCCTACAATCAACTTCTAAGTGAACTTTGTTAGAATCTATACCAGCCATATTCTATGATCTTTATCCTCATTAACTAAACTAACCCCTTGTAAATAATCTCATCGAATGGATTATAAAAACATGGAATGGTTAGGTCAACTATTAAAAATATGAGGAAAACTATCAAATCAATTAGAAAATGGTTAAAAAAAAATGTCATTTTCATTGGGGTCAAGTATGTCTTATGTTTGGTGCAAGTTATTTCTTGTGTTTGATGCAAGTCTTTTATGTGTTAGACTTTCATCCAAACAATATGAATATATAGTGCAAAATTTTTTAATTTACCTCACTGATACGCAATTCTCTTAAAATATGAACCTAAGGTCGGACGCAATTTTAGATATTCACAAACCGAGTATTACAACATTTGTACCAACTTATCTTGACCCAATTCCATTTAATATCTTTTCTTTGTCCTATCCAACACTATAACCAACATTTTTTACTTTTTAGTTTGAAAATTAATTAATTTAAATATTCTAGCTATAATTAATTATATATATAAGAGCAATGAATCTATACATAATTAAAAATATAAATCTATAAATATTGTCTAAACGTATAGAGAAATTTTTATTTTATTTTTTTGGATATAAATCATTTGTTAGCCAATGTTTGTATCATGGATAAAAATAGATAAAAATTCTAATTTGACCTTAATATCTTTGAATTGAACTGCTTAGACCAGTCTTAGACTTGTTGAACCATTCAACTTATAGTTAGTCTTAAAAAATTACGTATATTTAAAATTTACCTAAATGGTAATTTTGTAATCTACTTAAAAATTTAGGGGGATTGATCAATAAGTCCTATATTTTGGACTTGTAATCCATATAGTCCCATATTTTTTCTTGTAATCCATTTAGTCATTTTGAATGTGTAATGACTCATTTGCCCGCCACAATAGAGTATCGCATTTAGAAAAAGTATACTAAAGAGTTTTTTAGTGTCACATCACACATGTCATGTTAGAGTGTCACATTTAGAAAAAAATACACTAAAAAGTTTTTAATTTTTTTAGAGTGTCACATCATACCCGCCACGTTGTAGTGTCATATGTCACGTTTGGGAAAAGTACACGGAGAAGTTTTTATTTTTTTTGAAATGTCACATCATACCTGTCCAGTTGTCACGTTTGGAAAAAGTACACTAATGGGTTTTTAATTTTTTTTAGAGTGTTACATCATACTTGGCATGTTGTCACGTTTTAAAAAAATATAATAAGAAATTTTTATTTTTTTAAAGTTTCACATCACACTTGTCATGTTGTCACGTTTGAGGAAAATATACTAAAATTTTTTTATTTTTTTGAAGTGTCACATTATACCTGTTATGTTGTCACGTTTAACAAAAGTACACTACGAAGTTTTATTTTTTTGAAATGTCACATCATATCTGCCACTGTCACATTTTAAAAAATATACTAAGAAGGAATTATTTTTTTTTAGAGTAAAAAAGTTTTGGAATGTCACATCATACCCGTCACGTTGTCATATTTAGAAAAGGTACACTAAGGAGTTTTTAATTTTTTTGGAGTGTCACATCATTGGAGTGTGATATTAATACTTGTCACATTGGAGTATCACATTAGTCTACCAAAACACTACCAAAATCAAAAATAGGACCACATGGAAAGAAACTCTCCACTAATAGGACTTAACAGATCAATAGACAAAACTTGGGACTAATTGGAATACTTGTTTGTGAGATGAGATTTATTGGTAAATATCTCAAAAATTTATGAATTTTGTATTTTCAATTCATTGTTCATAAATAAAAATTTTATTTGAAAAATAAGTGAAAACAATAACTATTATAAGGTGGGTAAATTACACTCACCTCCCTTGAGATTTCTAACAATTACATTGGCCTCTCCTATTTTTTTCAGAAATTACACTGACCTCCCTTGAGGTTTATTTTTTATTTGCATATTCCCCCTTTCCATTAGTTGACTGTTAGTTTGACTAATTGTTATTTTTTTTAATTTATTTATTTGTTTTTGTGAAAGTCAGTGATTAGTTGTTAGATTATCACATAGGGGGGTTTTAGTTTGATTTTGTATAACATTTGAAGTGATTATCTATAAATTAAAAATAAAATAAATCAATTAATTATTTTTTAGGCAAACAAATTAATATGAATTATTGAAGCCAAATGAAAAATACAAGAACTTGTATGTATGTAATGCAATAAATTATATATATATATATAGTTAAACCATGTGAGTATTTAAAAATATTATTTAATACTATTCAAATAAATACAAGTGGTGTCCCAATTTTATTTTTATTAATTTAGATAGTAAGACTCATGTCATCAAAAAAAAAAAAAATGAAGAAGATAGTAAGACTCATCAATTTTATATTGTTTTTTTTAAGACAACTAAACTGTATGATGTCAAGTATTGATTAAAAACTACCAAATAAATTCTCTTATATTTATATAATTAATTTTTTTTAATTTGTTTCATCATCACTTTTGTCGTAACAATAGGTTATTCTAAAATTGAAAATGCTTGAGTGCCCGAAAATGAGGGGCTTGAATGGGTGTGTGCCAGACGTCTGCCCGGACGACCAGGCGAAAACTTGTCTATTGCAGTTAGCTTTGTCGACCACGACTGTCAACCTTCTCGCCGGACGACCGGTCGGACGTCTGCCTGGACGACCAGAAATTTGAATTTTGAGCCATTCGAGCCAACTTCCTTCTCGGGCTACCCAGCACTACTCTTCTGAAATACATACCATTTTTATATGTAGCATATGCAAGTTATAACATTTGTGGTGTTGATTACCACAAATATTATAACTAAATTTTTTTCAGTCATAACTAAAAAAAAAATGACTCATAACCAAATACAACATAAAGTATAACCAAAATAACAATCGCATATTTAATGTTTATTAACAAAAATATCTCTAATGTTAAAATTACTAAACTAATCCTCCCATTAACGCCGTTAATCACAAGGAAACTCAGTGTAATTTTAGAAAAAGAAGGGGAGATCAGTGTGATTGTCAAGAACCTCAATCGAGGTGACTATAATTTATCCTTATAAGTTATATATTTTATTTACATATATTTAAGATAATTACATAAAAAAATTGATATTAAATTTTTTAATAATATTTAGAGTTATGCTAGGGACCCCAAATAAATTACCAAATTTTCTACCAAACCTCTCACATGGGTGTGGGACCTACACAATTTTACCAAACCTCTCACATGGGTTTGGGACCCATACATGTGATTTGTGTGGGTCCCACACCCATGTAAGAGGTTTGGTAGAAAATTTGGTAATTTATTTGGGATCCATAACATTTTCCTAATATTTATGCTACATTTGGATAATGTTTACAGGGAAAACAAAATTAAATTAATTAAACAAAAATGGTTATTTTTGTACTATTATCTAATTCATTTTTTTTCATATTCTTAACCTAACCAAAAAAAAAAATATAGTTTCTTTCACTCCATTTACATTTTTTTTCATTTTTTAATTTAACTAAGCATATAGCATTTTATGTTTTTTCATATTTCATTTTCAATTTTAATTTTTGTAATTTTTTTTGGAATATGTGATAGATATGTATTGAGTAACAATATTCATGTGATCTACTAAGTATATAAAAGTAATTCAAAAAATTATCAAAAAATAAAGTGTATGGAGTATGTTTGTGCTAAAATTTTACCACACAACCAATAGCTAATCTTCCTCCTAGAATTTTGAGAGCATAGTTGTAGAACACACAGCCTATATAGATCCACGTTTGCACAATTAGAAGAATAACTAACTCGATTTCTTGTCAACCGAGAGGGCACTTTGATGATAAAGTCAATAAATTAATATCCCAAGATATTTCGACAAATTAACAATAACTCAAATTAACACACATAAACTCACGTAGCTCTCACACATGGGGGGTGCTTATGTAAAGGTGTCCTCCTAGAAGTAGTGATCAAGTCAAACACTTATTCCTTTTAGAAATAATACTAGATGATTCATCTCTCCCAGTTAGGTTACGATTAACCTCTCAAAACAGTCCTAAATACACCCAACCTAGGAGTCATTCATTCACTAGGATTTTTGTCCTTCACCAAATACCTCAGCCTAGACATGGATCATTTTCATACCTCAGCCAATCACATTCCGCCATGTGGCACTTCAGGCCAAGGTCATGCCACGTGGACATGTCGAAAATTATGTGCCCACACCTGGCTCCTAGATGCTATCACCTCAGGAACCATAACCACAACTACGGCTACTGAAGACAAAGCTGCAATGACAACTATAACACACCTATAAAACTATCATAAGGACGTAGGATAGCAGTACACAATCCTCTCCTCTATAACAAACTTAGTTAGTTAGGATCTATGACTAATCTAGAGATACTTTGTTTTGTTTCCATGTATACATTGATCAAAGATCACTACAACAATTAACACTTTTAGCAACAAAAAAATTGGTCGCTAAAAGTCTATTTTTGGTCGGCAAAAGTTATTCGCGACCAAATTTTTTGGTCGCTAGTTTGGTCGCTAATTGAGGGTCGGCAAAAGTAATTCGCGACCAAAATTTTCATTGGTCGGCAAAAGTTGGATTTGCCGACTAATTTTTTGGTCGCTAAATATTTAATTACCGCGACTAATTCATTTTGTCGCTAAAACACTTTGGTCGCGAAAAGTCGCCTTTTGCCGACCACATTTCTTAGTCGCCAATTGACACATTTCGCGACCAAAAAGTTTGGTCGCCAATTGTGACAGTTCGCGACAAAAAATTTTGGTTGCCAACTGTGACATTGTGCGACCAAAATTAGTTTGGTCGCCAATTGTTACTTTTCGCAACCAAAACTGTTGGTCGGCAAAAGTGAGTTTCCACGACCAACAAAATTTTTGGTCGGCAATAGATGTATTTTTTGCGACCAAAACTCTTGGTCGGCAATTGTCATTTTTCGCGAAAAAAAATAATTTATTTGTCATGACTAAAAAATTGGTCGCCAAAGCAGGAAAATAATACACCTGTAATATTTAGCGAATTCATAATCAAAATAGGACGAATTCATTATCAAAACAGGTCTTATTATAAAATTTTCTATATCCAAGTTTCAACACATAACTCAGCAGCAGCAACATTGATTCCAAAAACAAGGAACAATTCACAAAACCCTATTCTAAACCCCAAAAAATAAAAAACAATTCATTCCAACAAAAATTTAACATAATTAGCGTCAATTTAAAAAAAAAAAAGAACATCTGGTGTTAACAAGGTTGAGTATTGTTCAGTATTGTTGTTGTTTTTTATGTAGGGCATCCAGATCTGCAAATCTCTCTTTGTCGTACGCGTCAACAAGGTAAACTACAGAATCCACCTGCATGATGATAAAAAATTATATACTATTTGTGAACAAAATTCAATAAGCACTGTCATATAAATGAGCTGTGATTTGTCCTTTTCGTGCCTTGACAGTGAAAAAAACTAACAGCAATAACAATAACAGGATGGAAAATAAAATTAAACTCAGGATGAAACTCACCTATACACACTATAAATATTGAACATTATAAATTCTTGTATCATCAAACATACAATCTTACTAGCCCTGTAGTGTTGCTCAAGGCAGGAAATTCCGCAGCCTTAAAATTTATGTCACTGATTCTCCCAGTCAAAGAGATCACACCATGAGCAATTCCATCAACAGTACGCTACCAATCAAATAAATCAACAAAATAACATTACCTCCTAAAACTACTTTGTTGCTATAAGAATGTTTTGTACTCACAATTCAGTTAATTGATTCAAAAGGGATATGTTTGATGGAATGGGTCCCTCCAATCCACTTCCATGCATTTCTCTTCATTTTCCAAAATTAGAATTGAATGGTTATATACAAATAACGGAAAAACCATCACAAATATTGCAACTTTCTTTATGGATGAAAAGACACTATTAGAAAAACAACTATACACACACAGCACAAACACAAATTATAATTACCTTTTCAGCAACTTTTTCATCAGAAAGCAATTCCTGCCAGTCTGAAAGTATCTCATTTTCTAATGAACCACCAAGAGTTGATATGTCAATTTCCATTATGTTCTCTATCTTAAATGCACGAGGCTTGAACTTGAATTGTCGAGCTTCATGATCTTCTTTGGTCTTTACTTCAACTTTCATATTCATCCAAAGGCTAGCAAACTCATCAAATGTCTTATCCAAGAGCTGATTGATAAATACACCATATTAGTTAAAAGCCTTGATGCAAATAAATTTCTGGAATACTTTTGTTTGAAATCCTACAAAATTATGCTATTACATTATTGTTTTCTGTTTTATCTAATTTCATCCAAGGCTTCCAAGAACAAATTTCATCAATCTTAACTAATTTTTACAAGTAAATAACACCAGGAGCATTGATAAGTCATCTCTTTGAAATATTTCCAAAAAAAAAAAGCAAAACAGAATACCATAGCAATATGTGTTATAGTAAACTATTGGATAGGACTACAAAGTTTACAAGCAAAGTGAAGGCAAAACAGCTTTTCCTTGAGCTTTTAAGCTCTCTACCCCAACCAATTAATTTTTTAAAGAGTGCCATGTTAGAGAATCAAAAGCAAACAAAATATTGCTTACTCCTGTTTGGTACACCAATAAAATAAAACCAAGGGTACAAGCAAAACCAAACACAATACAGCACATAAACAAGCATGTAACTTGGAAGCAAAAGCACTGATAAAAGATGGAATTCTGAAGAATATAACATCCGAATTCTAAGGCAACACCTCAAAAATGCTACTCTATTCAACAGACATGTACCCAATCAACAGACTATAATTTTGAAACTGAATTTAAGTCTCTGCCTCCCTGGAATAGCTAATAAACAGGTGCAGGAAATCCCCGAAAGCTCTGCATTCTTTGCTTTTCTAAATTAGTTAAACTTCTCCATTGTAGTTTAGGATAATGTTGATCTTTGACCACATAAATATTGAATGTATTCATCTCCGTACAACGTAGAACAAGCGGAATGTAATTTAAAGAACAACTGGCCGTTAAAGGACTACTTTCATATGTAAACTATAGAAGGGAAAGGCTTATTAATCAGTGGTTCAAACTTACCCTAATAAGGCATCTCTTAGAAATATGGAATACTAGAGAAAGATTAATATAGCAACAAAAGTATAAATGAGAAAATTTGGGTTGTACATGTTTGTTTTCTCAGTAATAAACAGGAGAAAAAGAGTAGGATCTTACAAGCAGATGAGAACTTCCAAGATCACGTGCTGTGTCAAGATATCAATGTCTGCCCAACATGTTGACTTGAACTCTAATATATAAGCTAAGCATTGTCATTGCCCAAAGGGACAACACCATTCTTGTGAAACCTGCACAAACCAATAAAACAAAAGGTCAGCACAAGGTAAGCTCAATTCTAGTAACTTAACAGTTCTAAGATTTAAAGAAAACATCACATTAACAATTCATACTTAAAATTTTGAGTTTCTCCCATAGCTCAAGTTTCTCAGAAGACGACAGAGAGTTGGATTGACCCTTCCCTCTAATTAGCTGCTCTGTCAAGTGCAGAAGGTCTAGCTCTTCTGCCACCCGACTACTCAAATAGAGCATCGAATGAGGCAAGGTTGCCGTATCCGCTATTCTTTGAATGTTCCCAAAATGCGCTTGCATGCTATCAATATCAATGGAAAACCACATAAATCAGAAAATGAATACATTTCCACTTAAAGACAGAATTCACAGCAATACCCAATAAAATAAAACAAGAGAGCATGACTTTTGTTCTTAACTGGGCTTTAATGAGTTCATCATTTTCCCTCTCTTGGGCAAGTTCTCTCTCCAGGTCAGAGAGCCTGCGTTTGTGAGCATCATAAAGCTTGTATAGAAGATACCCACTTCCTAAAACTCCAATTGTAAAATAAACCTTCTTTTTATGCCTTTTCCAAATCTCCCTATTACATCAAATCGATGAGAAAAAGAAAAAACAAAAACAAAAACAAAATTAATCAACAAAAAGAAAAAGAGGGTTAAACTATTGCTTATAATTACACAGTACCCAGATGAAGATAAAACAAATTTAGTCATAAAAATGAGTACTTTAAAGAAATCCCAAATCATATATATATATATATATAAAGAGAGAGAAAGTAATTGAGGACAATCAGTGTTAGTCCTTGGAATACCCAATTCGAGCTCTAAATTCCCAAATACCAACAACAAAAGATATACACAAAACACAAATATACAGATCATTATAACTTCAATCCGAAATAAATAAATAAAGGAGCGAACTCGACTGCCACATTTGGATCTCGAATGATCGAATCTGCCTCTGTCATGGGTCTATTCCCCACGAAGACTACAAAACTCAATGGGCGTGGATTCGCATCAGATTCCCTTCCAGAATGGGGTTGAGGAGATTTGCCCTGTGGCTGCTTGTCCCTCCTGGGCGACCTACTTCGACGACGAGGAGATTAGTGTCTCTCCTGATCCCTCGAAGTCCTACTTCCCGTGCGCGAAGGTTTACCACTTCGACTCATACCTCCTCCCAGCTTAGCTAGCGTCCTCGCTTCCCCTCTGATGTTGAAAAAAAGTCTATTCAATATTCGCAGTTGTTTAATCTTCCTCAAAGAGCTGGACTGAGTTGCTGACTGAGCACATAAATAGGACCTTAGGTCACGAAATACACGCCCATTTATTTCCTACGAGGGCAGCGCCTCCGAAGCAATCTCATTAATATTGAAACGTCAACAGCCCGGCGTCGAATGAGTCATATGCTTCAAGCGCCCCATCAACCACTGTTATTCGGCATTATACATTCATGAACCAGCTGGGGCAAGGGCAAATTCATCAATCTAATCGGCTTGAGTGCCCTAGCCGTTCCACGTATCGATTTATCAATACATTATTCATAAGTTCATGTTATTCGGCGTTTAATGTTCATGAACCAGCTGGGGCAAGGGCATGCGACGGGGCCTTAAGTCGATTTACTTGTTCGGATAAATTAAAGTTAAATTAATTGCCAAGTTACACTGTTATCCAATTGGCAGCTATGCAGTGGGATATTTAGTCCACTCATCTCATGATCCTACGTCCTATTGGATCGATAGTTAGCAAGCACAACAGACAGTAATCATTTTATCCAAGGTAGTGAAAAGCAAAACTCTTCATTAAAATCAAAAACTGCGTACAACTTATAGTGAAATAAAAAGAAAATTTTCATTAATAAATTGATCGCAGATAGTAACTAATTTATACATGAAAATTACCTTGAACTAACAGAAATCTACTTAACAAAAACATACATTGAAATTGAAAATACTTAATAAAATCAGAATGTTTCCCAAATCAATCCTCGGGATCAGACTCAAGTGGCTCAACGTCCACTTGCTTGTATGGAATTGGCATGGCCAATGTAACTCTAGAGGCAACAAGGGCTTTGAGCCACCCATGTTTGAATCTCCGATTCTCGAATTTGAGGACTTCTTCTACGTAGTTCTCAAGGGCGGCGCTCTTTCTAGGCTCGAATGCCGCAGAAGCCTCAGAGTCGGCTTTTTCCTTGGCCTTCCTCAACTCTTCCAACTCAGCCTCCACCTTGGCAAGCGCCTCCTTGGCGAACTTGAGCGATTCCTCGCTCGCGTTCGCCCTCTCCTCGGAATCAGATCTGAGTCGATCAGCAGTCTGAGTCCTCTCCTTCTCAGCTTCGGCTTGAGCACTTTCCATCGCGGCTCTCATCGCCTTGAACTCGGCCCTGCTCCTCTCACCTTCAGCTTCCGACTTCAGGTGGCCAATTCTTTCAACGACATCGTGCTGGCAGCGGCCTAGTTTGGCTATCCTTCCAACCGTCTACAAAACAAGGAGTTGGGATCAGCACATACCAAGAAATATCGTACGAAAACCAAACCAAACAAGAAAAAGACACATACCAGAAGGGCCGACTGGGCAGCTAACGCTATAGCTACCAAATCCGGCTCTCCTCAAAAGGTGGCCTTGTCAGCCGGCATCGAAACTGAGGCGGCCAAGCTCAATGCTACGACTGGATCCTTCATGGCGGATGCGTCAGACGAGATCGACGTGTTTTTGATATTTGGCTGAACGAAAGGAACCACATCCGATTCTTCTAATCGAGGCCGTTTGCCAGCAGGGCTATCCTCCGAGCCGACTTTTCCCTCGGCGGTGCGTTTTTCGCCCCGCCCTTCTGAAATCAGCCGTTCTTCTGTAAACTGCTGGTTGACTTCCTTCTCCATCTCAGCCACCATAACTTGAGCCATCTCTCCTCCAATAACGGTTTGCGAAGACTCAATCGGGTCAGGTTCATAACGGGCGACCTCGGCTTTCTTTCGAGCTGCCATTCGTTCGGCATTTCTCTTTCGCGCCATCTGCGTAAGATTTTTTCCAGCCATACCTTCAGAAAAAGAGCCGGGTAGGTCTTCCAAATTTATAAAAATATCTCCGAAGGAAACCTCCGCCCGACCCGAAGTGGATGGCGAGGTAGGCTGGTTAAGACCGGTTGGTTAAGACCGGATGCCTCGACCGCTGAGTTTAGAGCTTCGTCGACCTCTTCGGCCTCTGCAGCAAACTCTCTCGTTAGTTCGGAAACTACCTCAACCACCGACGCTACATCTTGCTCCGAATCGGAAGCTTTGAGACCAATTTGCCTAAGGGTCTTGAAGCTGGGGAAGATTAGAGCCGTAAGGTGATGTTCGCCGGTCGGGATCAGAATGTTGTCCGCAGCCGAGAACGTAGTATAAGTAGGCTCGTACCGCAAGAGTATATGGGTGGATCTCTCTTGATTCTGTACGTTTGGACGGTCAAAATACTTTAGTGCAGTCCTAATTTCCACAAGGACTGTGTCGCCAGCTGAGGTCAAAATCCTTTTCAACTTACTGCCTGCAAAAACAATGAATTAGACTTGAAGAAAAAGCCGAATAAAAGAAAGATCAATAGACACAAGGGGTTACACGGCAACCTGGTTCGCCCCTCTTTTTGGGAATAGGGTCTAGGTGATCTTCGTCCTCGCCGAATTCCCAGTTGTCATGGACATTGACCATTACATCGTCAACTCGTTTGCCAGAGCTGGCAAGCATGGCAACCAAGTGATGGTCAGTGTCCTTAGCCCTGAGAAAATAACGCCCGAGCCGACCGGAGGATTTGGCTAAGGCGTAGCAGCGCCGAATCGCCGAAATGCCAAGGTTGATCCTAAGGCACCGGTTTAACTCTACGATTCCCATTATGACTCGAAAGAAGTTCACATTGGGTTGGGAAGGAATCAGACCCCAATGGCGGAAGACGGCCCTAAGAAATGGGTGAAGGGGAAAACGAACCCCGCTCTCCGCAATGGATAGGAGAGGAAAAACGATGGTATTTTGGTCTTCTCTCTCCATATCAAGGGTATTATCCGTTACTAGAGATAGATGGACATCGTCAGGGATAGAGAAATGTCGTCGGAACCCAGAAATTCGACCCTCGGAAAGGAGGTCTTTTAAATGTTTAGCCATTCTCGTAAGGACCCAAGGATATTCTAAATTAAAAATAAATAAGGAAAGTAGGATTACAAAGAAAAGAGAAGAAAACTTATGAAAAGCAAAGGAGACAAGAAGAGACGGAGAGGAGTTGTAGAAAATGCGAGTCAGAAAAGAGATACTGACTGGCAATCCAGGAGGCTCAAATATTCAAAAAAACGTGCATTCGAAGGGACTAAAGCTTCAAATCGTAATAAATGCGAGAGAAGCATGAATGAGGCGGGAAAGCATTACAATGACCAAAAAGCATGTACGCATTCTGACATGCATCGGGGAGAGGACTAACCGCCGAATCTTTGACTTCCCAGACTAGAAGCCAAACACGCCGACTAACTAGTGCTAGTAGGGGTGTTTGGGGAGCAATTGTGGGGGTCGGATATTTGGAAGAATCAGAAGCGTACTCTAGAAGACAGATATTACTCGGCTCTTTTCTGCACGATTAGGAAAGCCGAATAAAACAGATGAGCTGAGTAGATACCAAACTATAGAGCCGAGTAAATAAAAGGATAATGAGTGAAAAGTGGACCTGGCCCCGAGGCCCAGGAAACGAGTATAAATAAAGGAACAACAGACTAAGAAAGGTATGCGAGAATTGTTGTGCTTAACTTAGAATATAAGTAATCTTGAGAGTTGAGACTGACTTGTCCGTCGGAGTGCTAATTCCGGCACCCCCGACTGGAGTGTTTATTCCTTTTCAGGTGACTATCAGGGGATCACGAGCATCCCTCAGGATCAGAAGAGTATTTTCAAACCACTTCTTCACAAACATCAAACTACGTTTAACATAGAAAAGGTGTCGGAATCCTCAAACCACAATTATCTTTAGTTGAGTAGGTGTATGCATAGGCAGAACTATGTGTTTCGTAGAAAGAGTAAGAGTTCAAGTAATTGGGTGGGATGATATAAGTGAGGAATGATCTGCTGAGGAAAGATCGTGATCCTACATGCTGAATGCAACAAAACAAAGTACAATACAATGGATGCAATGGATGCAGTGAATAAGGCACGCAGCCAAACCACATTTCTACCTATAAAAGGCATGGATACAAGACAGACCACGTCTGACACAGAAAAGGTACCAACACCCTCAGACCACAATTCTCTTAGTGGAATAGGCGCGTACACATTAACATAGAACCATGCTTCAACGAAGGAAAGTATGGACGCATGCCAAACCAGGCTTAACATGGAAAAGATGCAATGCGGTAGATGCAATAGATGCATGCAATAGATGCTATATGCAATGCGATAGATGTTATGCAACACTTATGATAGATACGATGATGCGGCTAGGAAGCGATGCTCTCGAAAGTACCTTACAGGGGCAATCGGCGCTTTTGATTCTTACACCATTTCCTCACCATCACCTAGCACCACACCACCACTCCATTCCAGAAGCTTGGAGGGTCTTCTCAGAGCTTAGGAGACAGCATTTCTTGGTCCAAAATGCCGTCAAAGATTAGTCTTCAAGGGTAAGTCCTCTTCTCCCATTTTTGACCCTTTTCTTGGTTCACATCTTAGCTCTTTGTGCTTGCGTGTTGGGGCTCCGACCCTAACTGAAAATATCATTTTTTTGAGCTCTATTTCATTTTTGTTGAAGGGCCTCTCACTGTTTGAGGCTCCCTTTTTTCACTCGCTTCATTACCTCCTTTGTATGCCATTTTCTTGCATATTATTTTAGGCCTATATGTAAACTATTTTGAGCTCTAGTCCTAACTGTAAAGAAGCTTATTTTGAGCCCTTATTCAACATTGTTGAAGGGCTCATCACTTTTTGAGGTTTCCTTTTGGCACTTGCCTCTTTATCCCTCTTTTGGCCTCATTTTTGCATGATTTGTTAGCCCCTTGTGTTTGTGTTTCTGGACTTTGGTCCGAACTGTAAATGGCCTTATTTTGACCCCCTCTTCATGTTTCATCAAGGGTCTTTTGCTGTTTGATGTTTCCTTTTTCCTGCTTGTGTTTAGACCTCTTTTTAGGCCTTATTTTGTATAGTATTTTGAGCATGATTGTGTACTGTTTTTGGCTCGGCCACCAACTTTAGAATAGCTTATTTTGGGCCCCTCTTCAACATTGTAGAAGGGCCCTTCTCTGTTTAGGGACAGCAGCTACCACTTGCTTCATTATCTCTCTTTCGGAGCCATTTTTGCATGTTAGCTTAGCCCCATTTGTGTTCATTATTTGGCTTTTCTTAAAACTGTAAATATGCTTTTTTTGGGACTTCCTTGAATCTATATTCATGCTTCATGATCAAATAATGCATGCTTTGTATAGCTATAGGTCATTGCGCATGCCTAATGTTGCATTTCGGGTACCATTTCATGCATCGGGTGCCATGTTTCCATGATTCGGGGTTGTTTTGCATCATATTTCGCTTCTGAAATTTGCATGTTTGCATATCATATTTCATGTCTTTCCATGCTTTGGTAGAGTGGCATTCGTGCCTTAGGTTTGGTCCTCGGTTTGCGCGCATATGTGCACGCATTTCGAGTGTCTCATTTTCATCTCATGGCCACTGATGTGGGTGCGGCTGAGGTCCACTCACATTGGTGTAAGTCCATCTTGCATTGTGTATGCCATGTTTCAATGCGTTGTGCATGTTATGTTGTTAGCATTATGTGTGCCATGTAGTTGTATTGCATGTTTGTATGTTTGCTTGCATGCTTAGGTCGCATGTGCATTATAAGTATACCGTTGAACGTATCTTGGTCGACCAAGGGAGCACTTTCGAAATTATGTATTACAAGACGTTCCTCCAACTTGGCTTCAAAGACAAAGATCTCGTTGCAGCCGAATATCCTTTTTTTGGCTTTTGACGCCAACCCAAAATACCCATTGGGAAAGATTGTGGTACCAGTGCGAGCTGGCACTCAGACACTAGATGTGGGATTCCTAGTGGTCAAGCTTCACTTCTCCTACAACCTGATTATAGGTCGAACATGGCTCTATGCGATGAAAGTCGTCCCAAGCACTTACCATCATCTTCTTCACTTTCTGACTCAATATGGCATTGAGCAAATTCGAGGATCACACACTTCGGCAAAAACTTATTATAAGAGAGGCCTTGGGAAAGAGACCAAGAGAACTCAAGGTCATTCGATTGAAGTTTCGGATCGAGAAAGGCTAGATGACGTGGGAAAAGTTCCAACCAAAAAGAAGACGGAAGATTTGGATTGAGTCGTCATACCTGGTGATCCTATGAAGTTCTTTATGATTGACACTAGCCTCAATGCAGCCGAACAATAGGAGCTAGTGACCTTTTTACTAGGCAGCTTCGATGTATTTGCTTAGACCTTGTATGATATGCCCGGGGTAGATCCAGAAGTGGTTATGCACTGCTTGAACGTCGATCCAAAGGCCAAACCGGTTGTACAGAGAAGCCATCACTCAACCGCCGAACATGCCTCTGCTGTAATTGAAGAAGTAGACAAATTATTGGAAGCTAAGATAATTCGAGAAGTTACCTATCCCAGTTTGTTGTCCAATACAGTTGTGGTAAAAAAGAAAACATGAATATGGCAATTGTGTGATAACCACTGGATCAATCCTCTCTTGAGACATCTTCAAAGGTATCTACTAATCCCACTTCTATCATAAACCTTAATTCTCAAGTGTCTCAATATCGTCTTCCAGACCGTTCTAATCGTGGCGTACCTCCTGTCAAGTATGAACCAGATCCTAAGTCCAAAGTTAAATATCCCGTCGGTAATCACGTGTCATCTAAAAGATTGTCTGAGTCATATGCTTCTTATGTACTACAGTTATCATCTATCTCTATTCCTAGTAAATTGCAGGAAGCAGTAGTAGATGTCAGGTGGGCTCAAGCCATGGAAGAAGAAATGGCAGCACTTAAGAAAAATGGGACTTGGGAACTCATTCCTCTACTGAAGGAGAAGAAGAATGTAGGATGTCGATGGGTATTTGCAGTCAAACACAAGGCAGATGGAACCATTGAAAGATACAAAGCTCGGTTAGTTGCAAAAGGATATACTCAATTGTATGGGATTGACTACTCAGATACTTTTGCACCAGTGGCCAAGCTTAACACGGTTAGAGTACTGTTATCCTTGGCGGTTAATCGGGATTGGAAACTTCTTCAATTTGATGTTAAAAATGCATTCTTGCATGGAGACCTCAAAGAAGAAGTGTTTATGGACCCTCCACCGGGTATAGAGGAATATGCAAATGTGAGCATGGTTTGTAAGCTCAAGAAGGCATTGTATGGATTAAAGCAATCTCCCCGAGCCTGGTTTGGGAGATTCACCAAGTCTATGAAAAAGTTTGGCTATAAACAGAGCAATTTAGATCATACTTTGTTTCTAAAACATAGAAAAGGTAAAATCACAGCTTTAATTATCTATGTTGATGATATGGTGATGACAGGGGATGATCAAGAAGAAATGGAGAATCTACAACGACACTTAGCCTCGAAGTTTGAGATGAAACAACTTGGTGACTTAAAATACTTCCTTGGTATTGAAGTAGCCCGATCGAAGAATGATATTTTCTTATCCCAATGGAAATACATTTTTGCTATATTAACAAAAACAAGGATGATTGGATGTAAACCAGCAAGTACTCCTATTGAACAAAACCATAACTTGTTTTGATGCTCGGACGCCGCCCCTACGAATCAAGCAAGGTACCAGAGACTTGTGGGAAAATTGATCTACTTGTCCCATACTAGACCCGATATTGCATATGCAGTAGGTGTAACTAGTCAGTTCATGCATGATCCCCGTAAACCCCACATGGACGCTGTGGAACGTATATTGCGATACCTAAAGTCTGCTCCAAGGAAAGGATTACTTTTCACCAAAAATGACAGATTGAAAGTAGAAGGCTACACTGATGCAGATTGGGCTGGTTCAGCAAATGATCGAAGGTCTACTTCTGGATACTTTACCTTTGTTGAGGGAAATCTGGTGACTTGGAAAAGTAAGAAGCAACCAGTGGTAGCAAGGTCGAGTGCAGAAACTGAATATAAAGGCATGGCTCTTGGAGTATGTGAACTGTTATAGTTGAGGAATCTCCTATGAGATTTAGGTATCAAGCCCCAAGAAACAATGAAATTATATTGTGATGATACTTCAGCCATAGCAATTGCTCACAATCCAATTCAACATGATCGAACGAAACATGTGGAAGTTGACAGGCATTTCATTAAGGAGAAACTTGATGCTGGAATCATTACGTTTCCATTTGTAAAATCTGAAGATCAATTAGCAGATGTCTTAACTAAGGCCTTAGCCAGCAATGCCTTTGATAACTCGTTAAGCAAGTTAGGCATGTGTGATATACATGCTCCAACTTGAGGGGGAGTATTGGAAATTAAGTCAAAGATATGCCATGATTCTTGGAAGATATTGTTATTAGATACCGTATAATTAGGAGATATACCATAACTAGGAGATTAGATCTATATCCAATATACCATGTGTAGATTACACGGTGTATATATTGTACACCAATGATTGAATAAAATTATGAGAGAATCATTCTCAAAGGTGTGTTCTTTGTTAGAAATAACTAATGTTATACTAATAACGTGAATTGTTAATCTTTTCACTTTTAATTATGCTAATAAAATAGGACCTTATTGAATCGTCACAACCAATTTCCACCACCACAACCAAGTTACTAATTCTTGGTATTTTCTTGATTTTTTTTGTTTGATTTTTTCTACTTTGATCTCTCGGCACACTGAGAAGAGAGGTACCAATAGAAGTGAGATGAGATGTGGTGAAGAATAGTGATAGTTGTAAAAGCAGTGGTGCATAAAGATAGGGAGATGAAGTGTGGAAGTGTGATGGGTGTAAAAGTAATTTTGGTGCATAAACAAACTTTAGTTAGTGATGAGTTAACTTTTGAGGACATTGGTGGAAGCCCGTGTTATATTTTGTCAAACTAACAGGCCAGTTGCAATTTAAGCAAATTGTTAGCAGAGGTAAATGTAATTTGCTTAAATTTTAGCCAGAGTCAACATTTTGGATGCCACAAAGTTCGAACTCCGTCTTTAGAACACAAAACTTGAGAGAGATAGCAGAGCACCGAAATCGGGCTATGGAAGGTTGGCTGATCGAAAAAGAAGAAAGAGAAAGAGAAAGAACGATAGAGAGATGGAAAAAGAGAGAGGGATTCGGGAGGGAGATGGGTGAAAAATATTGTGTCTTGGTAAACTGAATCATCTAATGATCAGTAATGCGTGCAATTTGACCGCAGATCAGATAGATCATATCGACTCTGTTTACCATCGGCTAAGATTCCTAGCAATCATTCTCAAGGATTTGGAAGAGCAGCAGCAGAAACAGTTGACCTATAAAGGGACGGCCATAAAGGCATACAGTTGACCCATAAAGGGATGGCCATAAAGGCATACAGTTGACTCTCGTGCACAGAGATGGTACAGTTGACTCATGAGACGTACAGTTGGCCCATAAAGAGATGTATACATAAGGATCCATAACAGTTGGTTCATGAGACATACAATTGACCCATAATTGGGACGTAACAGAACAGATAATAGATTTCATTTGAAGCTAAGAATGCCACGAATACATTTTAGAAACATTGGACAACCATTTATTCATACAGTACTTATAAATGAACATAGCTTTGCAAAGTTATTACTCACAATAATAGAGGCTCCAAGGTAAATAGACAAAAGAAGCAAATCATATGTCTTACGGTGCGTGACCTACATAACATAACAGATACATACGTTGGAACACACGTTCGGAGTGTACATAATTTATTTCATTGTTCTTAGTGTGTTTCTAGCATTTATCCTCTTTATGGTCTCTTAATCTTGGCCTAGGAATGCCTAGGATGGAATGAGGATGGAAAAACGTACTTAAAAACATTTTTCAAAACTTGCTGAAAACAAGGTCCACGCTCAAGCTTGGCTTTCCTCGCTCGAGCGGACATGCAAAATGTGAGGGTTCGCTTGAGCATAACTTTCTTCGCTTGAGCGGTCTGCAAACTTTGACAAAAGTATTGGTTGCTTGATTTTCACGCTCGACGGACGTTCGATCCCCACTCGAGTGTGAGACTCAGACCTTCGCTCAAGCGTGACTTTTGTTGCTCGAGTGATCTGCAAAACATAAGAACTTCTGGGAACATGCATTTCACGCTCGAGCGGAAGTGCACGCACTCAGAGTGGTCGCTCGAGCGTGAACTCCTATGCTCAAGCATAGGTGCAAATTCTATAATTTCTAGATTTGATCTCCAAGTTCAAAACTCAATCTTTAAGCATCAAAACTTGATTTTTCTGGGTCAAAACTTGAGGAACACCTAGAAATTCATAATACATCATGAATTAAGGATATTTTCAAGACCATGACATGCATGAATTTCTTTGAGCTTAAGCTTCTCAAAACATGATCAAATGCTACAAAACAACATGAAACTTGATCATTTCCCCAAATTAAGGTGAATTTAAGACATGCATGAGGGAATTCTTGGAAATGAAACTCAAAATGTGAGAAAATATGCATGCATGAATGGTATGACATAGTTTCCTTCAATTCTAGCTCAATTCCTACTTGAATTCACTTAATTCACTTGTTTTCATACATTAATCAACTACATTACAAAATCAAAGGATAATTCTCTTACCTAAAGTTTGAATTGCACAAGTGAGGGAGCTTCAATTCCCAAATTCTTGGCAAATCTCCAATATCTCTTGGCAATTCTCTCCTATCCCAACTTTTGATCTCAATTGCCTTCTCTCTCTCACACCCTCACGTGTTGCTTGTATGAGGGAGCTCAAATATGTTGAATGAAGAAAGATGAAAGAATAAAGGCATATAGGAAGCCTTATATAGGCTGACTTGAAGATGATTAAATAAGTGAGCACTAAATTAATCTAATTTATTCGTTCCGAATCGAATTTCAATTGAACCTACCATAAAATTCTAGAAATTCTAATTAACACATAAATCAAGTCAATTTCTGATTCGGATGCCGATAAGGCCTTCAATTCGCAAACCGAAATGAAAACATGTACAGATCTTTTTATGTTAAACAGATATGTACACTTCCAAAGCAACATATGATGCAATATTTCACTTCAATTATTTATTAGGCGTGATTAAGCATGAATTAACGGTAATTATGGGTCAGGGTTGTTACAATAGAGTCCTGCAATTTTCTCAAAGTAATGACTAGAGCGATTGTACTTAATGCCATAAATATGCTATACAGACCCTAGTACTTCCAACTATTGAAACCTGCAGAAAAAAATGATGGCGTCGAACTTGACTCACTTCCAATCAACTAAAGTGGGTCAGGTCGACTCCACCCATCCCATTATTAATGTCTTATTTGTTCAAGAACACTACCTCAACTTGCAAAATTGATAATGTAGAATTATATTATTCTTAAAATCCCACATAACAAATTTGAGAGTTTACCCAAAAAAGAAATTGGCATAGTTTGGGAAGTTGGTTTTGGTGGGTTAGGGGTTAAAATAGCCACAAAAAACAAAATAGGCTATTTTAGCCACAAAAAATAAAACATCAAATCCAACCCATAATTATTACACTCCTTTCTCACAAAAAAAGTCAAAAAAGACAAAAAGACAAAAAAGGCAAAAAGGCAAAATGCCCTTCCCAAACCAGGCTTTTTAACCCCAAGCTAAAGTAGCTAAAAAGCCAAAAAGTCAAAAAGTCAACCCACTTCCCAAACGGAGGCTGAGTTCATTGAAATTATGGGCCTATTTGGTGGAGGCTTTAACCTATTTGGTTTTTTTTTTTTTTTTAATTCAAAATTAAAAAACTAGTTTGCTTTGAAAATTAATTCGTATTTTGTAAAAAGTACCTGTTCTGTTGAAAAAAAAAAAATCATTTAGAAGGCGTATTTTGTAAATATGTTTTCTTAATCAAACAACGTATTTACAAAATATGTTTTCAACATAATTTTTTTAAGAAAAATAATTAATAAAACAATTGAAATCATAATTTTTTTAAATAAAAATCTGAAAACGTATTTTGTAAATACGTTTTTATAATAATTTTTGAAAACATATTTTCATCATATTTTTTTATTTAAATAATTAATAAAAAAACTAAAATCATAATTTTTTTTTTGAAAATAGCAAAGCTCACATAATATTTGAAAACGTATTTCATCCTAATTGTTTTTTAAATAATTAATTGAAAGTCTATTGAAACTGAAAAAAGTATTTTACATCTTTTTAAATAATTAATAGAAAAACATCATAATTTCTTTTAAAATAAATAAACAATAAAGCGTGTTGAAATAAAAAACACATTTCGTAAATACACTTTTATTTAATTTTTAAATATTTAATATTGTTGTATTTTTGTAAATACGTTTTCATCATATGTTTTAAATAATTAATAGAAAGTAGTTGAAACATAAAACATATTCCGTAAATTCGTTTTTATTATTTTTAAATAATTAATGAAAGTTTATTTTGTAAATACGTTTTTATTTATTTATTTACAGCATACAAATCAATATAATTTTTTGAAAATATAAAAATAAAAAGCTTGTTTTCTTTGAACATAATTTTTTTCATTTATTTTAAAAACATGTTTTCATTCTTCTTCTTTTTTTTTTTTTTTTTTTTTTTTTTGGCGTTGCATCTTATTACTGTTATACACATTTTTTTTGTCCTGGGCTCTCACACGCCATTGTTCATCTCTCTTTTAACATTATTCTTTTTATATTGAAAACACGTTTTCAACATAATTTCTTTTTAACGCTTTGCATTCAAAAAATAAATAAATAAAAGAGGTTTTTATATTAAAAACGTGTTCGCAAAACACTTTTATCATTTTATTCCCGTTGCTTTCAACACAATTTTTATTTAAAATAGAAATCGTGTTTATGAATCTTTGTTTAAAAAAAAATGTGTGTTTAAGTTTTTCATTTTTCAAAAAAAAAATTTATAATTTCAATTTTTTATTAATTATTTAAAAAAAATGACGACTTTTCAAAATAATTATGAAAACTTATTTACAAAATATGTTTTCAGCTTTTTATTTAAAAACAT